GCGAGCAAGCGCCAGGCGGTTCTTGGCTCGGGGCTGGAACCATTAATCTCGAAGCTGCGGGTGACCTGGATGCCGGGCATTCCTGAGCCTGGGGCTGTTCCGCTGTGCCCGCCCCGCCCCGCCCCGCCTGCGCTGCGGGAGGGACACTGGGACAAAGGGACTGGGAAGTGCTGGTGGGGCCTTGCTTTCTCAAGAGAAAGGCCCAGCCTCCTGCTCCCTGCACAGCTCTCCCTGCCTTCCTGCCAGCCCTGGGCCCCACTACATATTTCCAGGCTCCTCCCCCGACCCCTGCCTGGGAGCTCCCCTCCCCACCAGACATGCCCAAGATTTTATCCCGGTATCTAGAGATGGCCTAGGTCTGAGGCTGCCCAGCCCTTGCTGGGGCCTTAGAAGCTGCTGGAAGCCAAAGCCCGAGTCCTCGGGGCTCTTCCCCAGGGGCTGAGGAAATCCGAGCAGCTCTTCCTTGCTCCTTAAAAGCCATGGGGAAGACAGAATTCTCAGGGAAAATGTCTCTGGTTGACCTCAGCGTTTTTGTGGAGTCAGTCAACACTAATAGGGAAATGTGCAGTATCACCAGTGCCATCTGCTTTTCCTGCTGGGCAGGCCATGTGGACCCCCAGCTCTGGTCAGGACCTGCCCTCCTTTGAGTCCTGAGGCCTGGTTCTCCTAAGTCCTGTCCCCCTTGGGCAGTTTCTTCTCACCTGAACCTCGGGTTCTGAGGCTATAAGATGGGGAGGTCATAAGACTAAGATGAAATGCAGGCCTTCTGCGAACTCTGTAAGGTGTCGGGCTCTGTGACGCCACCAGGATGGAGTCATTATCCCTAGGTCCAAAGTTCCCAACTACACTCCCCGTCTGTCGCCTCCACCCTCCTCAGGTGTCAAGCCAGCCTAGTATGAAAGGCTCAATTTCAGTATTATTGAGTTTCGTCATCTTTCCCCTCCACATCAAAGAATGAGGCCAGCTCAGATCCAGCCTTCAAAAATCCAGAGTGAGCCAGAGCTGCCTGGGGTCGCCTGTGTTCTCCCTCTCTGCCCCAGGGCCCTTCTGCCTGCCAGGTCCCAAGCTTTCACTCTTCTGTTTTAGAACCTGTACTGATATGATATGATATATAATATATGATGGGTACTTAACTACACGTGGCCCAAAGATTCAAATTAATTAAAATTTAATAAAATGAAAAAGTTGACTCCTCCCTTGCACTAGCCACATTTCAAGTGCTCAACAGCCACACTTGCTTAGTGGCTCCTGCTTTGATTGGCACGGTGTGGAACAAACCCATTACAGCAGAGAAGTCCACTGTGCTATTATAGTGTTGCTCTTTGAGTCCATCAGGCAGGCCCCAGAGCCCATCCCCCTGTGGTGAGGCCGGCTGCAGACACACTCTGGCCTGGGGGCTGAGGCGGGGGGCTATCCTGAGACTCCCAAGGGCAGGTGCATGGGAGGTGGATTAAAGTCTAGAGCATCAGCTGGAGGACTCAGTGGTCTGACTCAGTCCTTGCTCGGCCTGGCTTTCTGAAGAGGGTCTCGGAACAGAATTCTTCTGGGCAGTTAACAAGATGATTTAGAAGTCTGGATAGGTGGGACCTCAGACACAAATCTTTGGACCAGAGTCATTTTCATTGTGCTGGAAGGTTTGCATTTCTTTATGAGCCTGGTTGCCCACATCTCAGTGGTCTCTCCAGACCACGGAGGGAATGTGGCGCTAAACAAGGGGGCCCTAGGTCCACAGAATGAGCCCTGATGCCCACTTTGGGAGGCCTCTGAGTGTGAGGGCCTCACACTGCAGCCAAGCAGCCTGCTTCTTCTGAGTCTCTAGTGTCACCATGAGCCTCGAGGGAAATTGTGAATGTGTTTGGGAAATGGTGACACCTGGCCCAAGTGGACAGTGTTTGGGGCTCTCTCCTGGGAAAGCCATGTCCCAGCAGAGGAGCAGTGTAACCCAGTCATTGCTGCAAGGACCCTGGTCTGGTGCTGCCATTTACTCGTGACTTCACCACATAACCGGAGCCTCAGTTTCCTGGCCATTTAGTTACAATGGGCTTACGAATGGGACCTAACTCCTAGGTTGTTGAGAGGATCAGATGCGGTCG